CGCAGCAACACCATCAACAACATCATCAGATCCACCATCAGACGCACGTCGACTCGGTCACGCCACCGCCATCCAGCCCAACGGAGATGGCGTACTCTTACAAAAAGTCACACCGCTACGGCAACATTCTGCCCTGCAGTCCCGATTCCAGCTCGAATTTACCCATGCAGGCGGACACCTGCGTGAACTCCACCACCAGCTGTAACAGCGCCCTGCCGATGCAAAGCCCTACGAGTAACCTGCATTCGAGCACGGGGAACCTTCACTCGAGTACGGGCTGCTCCAATCTACACTCCAGCAATACCGGATCCAACAACATTCTACAGTCACATCCAGGGAACATCCATTCGTCCAGCAATTCGAACAATCATCACTCCAGTGCGAACGTCTTGTCGTCTAGCACGATACTGACATCTACGAGCAATCTTCATTCCTCGACGACGTCCAGTAACTGTATGCCCAAGAGGAAGGCCAAGAGCCCGTCGCCGTCTGCGAATCCCGCGGGTACATCCACCACCCCAACGATCCTCTACTCCAACTCCGGTGGATGTCAAATAGAATCGAGTCCGGTGTATCCTAGCTCGGCGGCGAACAGCAATCAGAGCGTTTCGCCCATTTCACCTATTCAATCGCCTTCGTCCTATCCATACGGCATTTATCATCAGAACGGTTCGCTGCATCACAACGTGGCGCCGTTATCGATCAACTGCACCGCCTACTCGCCGACGCCTAGCGGGAACGTAGTCTACGAGCGAGCCGACGGAAGAAGGCTGGAGACCGCCACCAGCAACCACCAATTGCCCACTTCGTCGACCATGCAGATCGACAGTAACCAAACGTTAATAGCCGGCACGCACAATCTTCACCTGGGCCATCATCCGGGCCTTACCATTCACGCAAACTCGTCGTCACTGAACCGATACTCGCCCGCGAGCTCTTTGTCCCCGGACGATCACGGTTGTTCGCAGAGCGGTTCGCTCAGTCCGAACTCGCAAGGATCTAGGGGTTACAGGTCGCTGCCGTACCCATTGAAGAAGAAGGACGGGAAAATGCATTACGAGTGCAACGTCTGCTGCAAAACATTCGGCCAGCTGTCGAATCTCAAGGTACACCTGAGGACTCATTCCGGCGAGAGGCCGTTCAAGTGTAACGTTTGCACCAAGAGTTTCACTCAGCTGGCCCATTTGCAGAAACATCATCTCGTGCATACAGGTAAGTTGTATACCAATATTTCTCCGTGTAATTTGAAAAGAAATTTTTAATTGCGAGAAAGAGAGAGAGAGAGAGAGAGATAGAGAGAGAGAGAGAGAACTAAAGTAAACAATTATCACAATTATCACAGGCGAAAAACCACATCAATGCGAAATCTGTAAGAAGAGGTTCAGCTCGACCTCAAACCTGAAGACCCATCTGAGACTGCACTCCGGACAAAAGCCGTACGCCTGTGACCTGTGTCCCGCGAAATTCACTCAGTTCGTTCACCTCAAGTTGCACAAGAGGTTACACACGAACGAGAGGCCCTACACCTGTCAAGGTTGCGACAAAAAGTACATTAGCGCGAGCGGTCTTAGGACTCATTGGAAGACAACCAGTTGCAGACCAAATAATATCGAGGACGAACTTGCCCTTGCCGCGGCCGTGGGTTCGCCGACGTATTACGAATACGGGCCGGACATGAACGTCGGTAAGTACGATCGAGAAACTGAAACTGTAACTCCGCAACAGTTTTCACGCGGCGTCAAGTACGTTGCAAAGAGAAGAACTAACTTTCGGTTAAGAATTGCACCGAAAGGTTTCAGAAGAAGGTTTTTCTTTTTTCTTTTTTTTTTTTTTTAACGAGAGTCGCACGTCAATTGCAGGAAATATGCCGAAGGAATGCGAGCTGGAGCACATCGACAATTACGAGAGGCATGGCACCACGCACGGACCACACTCGACGTCTCTCCACAACCTGGAGAATTCCGTAGGGCGGCCAAGCGTCATAGAGACCTCCCAGCCTCACATAATCGAGTGCACCTAAAAATGGGGGTATGAGCCCTTTCGCTCAAACGCAAAATCCAGCCGTGGAATAGTAAACGAGTTGCTCGCGACAGACGGAAACGATGTTGACCTCGTGAGATGGTCATAGTGAGAACGATAACGCTCGTGCTTCGTGCTTCCCTTCGACAGCGGGGTCGCAGGAGCGGATGGGATTTTCGTGAATCGTGCTTTCCTTCATTTCATTCGTTGTTTAGCAGCGTGTAAGAAGAATGTATAATAGAGTGAGACAGAGACGGTCGGGAGCGGGGGAGAAAAGAGAATCGCGATCGAGGAAAACGATCGAATGAGATTACAAAGGGCAACAAGTAATTCGAGATTATTAAACGTTGTTGCTTGGTTATTGTTAACGCGAAGGAATTCAAAGCTTTTAGTAGATGTACTTCTTAAAGGCTGGTTACTTTTTACGTACCGTTAATCGTAACACGGACTAGTTCGATTTCTCTGACAGAGGCTGGACAGAATCGACGAGATTCCAGCTACGAGCATACAAAGTTCCTTCCTTGTAAATACTCGTTTCTATATTTTTTCTATGGTAGCGCCACCAACGAAAACGAATCTAAAGCGTGAAACAAATGAACAAGAGGGACGAAATTGAACGAATAGGATTAAAAAATTATGTCTCGAGTCGTCACGCACGCTGCTCATTTCTCCGGATAGAATCGAGAGAGAAAGCGAGAGTACCAAAGTCGTTCGAGCTTCTCGATTATCCTTCCACGGTCTATCCTAAAACGATGCTTAGAAAAGGTACCGTACTAACGCGGTACACCGTGCCGTTACTTTTCTATACTTTTTCTATATACGAAAATCGCTATGAAAAGAGAATACTTCCGCAAATACTTCCAACGTTCGGCTAAGCGACAAAACTCTATTCTACCAAACTGCAATTTTTTTTTTTTTTTTCCTGAATCCTGAAACGCAACGCGCGTTCGCGCGCCAAGAACGTAGTTTATACTCTTTTTTATTATGAAACGTAAAAACGCTATAACTTTGAATACTGAAGGACGATCGAAGCGCAATTGATTGAATCAAATTTTTCCCAATATTTCTCGTGTTCGATGAGAAACCTAGATTTAGAACACATTTGCAACCAAAAAAAAAAGAAAAAAAAAGAGAGAGAAGAACGAGTAACTGTATCTCCTTCCTCCTCGCGATATCACGGTACCATTTTCTACGCGTTCGAGCTTAGGCGGTTGAAAGTGAAAGATGACGGATTTTGTCGGCATCCGTCAGCACATTCGCGGGAAAAGAAGAAGCGCGCGATGAACAAAAGCGAAAGAACAACGCGATAATCGAACAACCAGTGACGACACGACTGCAACTATACGAGACCTGTACCTGTATATACTAACATTACTATTAATTATTCGATAATTTAAAAAGGTAATATAATATAAGGAGCTCTAATTTATGAATACCTTTATATATGTATATTTAAAAATCGTCGTCGGTTGGCGAGAAGCACGGTAGGCTGCGCTCCACGATAATACTTTTAATAGGAGGGAACCTTTTCAAAAATTAGATAATTTATTACACGCGTACTGTAATAACATTGAAACACGAAAAAAAAAAAAGCTTTCGGTGATCGAGTATCTATATCTATATTTATACACATTCATATAAATAACATATACATATATATAAATATATATATATATATATATATATATTTTTTAGGCATCCTTTTGTCGTGGAATTTTCGAAACGGAAAGCATAGTCTCTCAGTCCACGTAAACAAATCTTTTTCTTCGTTTTTTCCTTTTTTTCTTTTTTTTTTTTCTTTTTCTTCTTTTCACGACGCTATTCTTCTCGTTTCGATCAATCGATTTTTCGAACTGTACGATTTCTTTTCTACCGCTGATCGTAAACGCCGATGCGATAAGACGATCAATCCTGAATCGTCGAAGTTTTAATCATCATCGCACGGTTGCTCGGTGAAAAAGAAACGTCTTATCGCGATCGCGCACAAAACTTGTTTGCCCATCGTGATACAACGCGATTGAGAAAGCTGATTAATTTTCGTGTCGTTGAATGCATACGGAGAAACATGCGCGCTGGAAACGCAGTATTCAGAAGAAAAGGCATTAATTCGTTAAGTTTTACTTCGAGGAAAGCCGTCGACTCGCGATGTCCGGTGTACGAAATACTTCTTCTATTCGTCGTCGGGGCGAAGGCTCGGGCGTGATTTTCATTGGGAACAAGTCGAAAGCGCACATTAACACGGGAACATCGGGTCGAGAAATTCGCAGAAATCGCATAATCACGCGAGAGGGGAAAATCTAGTCAAAAAAAAAAAAAAAAAAAAAAAAAAAAGAACACACGGCTGCGTCTCGTGGGTAATTTTCGTGTAATAATTACAAGATCCACCCGAGCCTTTCCTCGAATCCTTCGGTTCGCGCTTCGATTTAATGTAAACGTTTAGCACGTAAAGAATTGTATCTTTCTAGATGTACGTAAAAGTTACTCGGATTACTCGGAAATTTGTAACACCGTTTTAGAGAACGTTGCTCGTAATTGGCAAAGATAAGTCTTTTTTTTCTTTCTTTCTTTCTTTTTTTTTTTTTTGTCTATCGAGAACGAGAAAGCAAATAATATTAATAATAATCAATAATCAGTAATCAATAATAATAGTAATAATAATACTGATCACCAAGTCGATCGTTCGAGAAATTCATTGTCGGACGATCGGCCGAAAGAAATTTGCCGATGAAGGAACTCGAACGTATTAATCAAAACCCGGTGAGAGTGACCACGCAACGTGAACTCCTCTTCTTTCCCCTTTCTTTCTTTCTTTCTTTATTTCGTATCTACCATTTTGGTTTTACAGGAAAATTTCGTCACTCGTACTTCCATTAACATTTTAAGTGCCGAATCGTCGACAGTCGAAATCAGTAAGAAAGCGCAGCCTACCATTAGATACGAAAACAATAAAAAAAAAAAAAAAAAAAGAAAAAGTCGCGGTCGGTTGGTGATTCACGCGCCTCTGGAATATCCCCGGAGTTTTGAGGTACGAGCGAAAAAAAAAAAAAAGAAAAAGAAAATACGGGGTGACGCTGGAATCGCCGATCGATAGCAACAGCACATTACGTATCGCAGACTGATATACGCACGATTATCAATCGTTTATAAAAAAGAAAAAAGAAAAAAAGAACATTCTAAAGAAAGTATCGTGCATCGCGATACGGCTCCAAGGGCGAGAGATTCTGGTTAAAACGGAAGGATAAGAGAAACAAATGGCAAGAAACATTTGGACAATTGAAAACATTCCAAACATTCCTTTTTCTTGATGCTTCAGTTTCGGAGATTGAAATTCGCTCGATTAACGCGCGAACGGTTAACATACAGAAATCCAAAGGTTTCGCGTCCACGAAATTGCGATCTATTCGTCGTATTTATCCGTTTTTTTAGCTTGGAACGTGACAAGTTCTATGGTTCCTGCAAATATCATGGTGCTCGTCGTAAGATTTTTGGAACTGATCGTTTGGTTCGTTTCTCCCGTTTCGCTATCCCTTTTTGTCTGAAAGCTCCTCTTGAACTCGTAGAGATTCTTTCGGATAACGATACTTCGATGCGTCGTAAATTTAAGGCAGCTTTAAGGTTAATTTCATTTCGGCGAATCTCTCCGTACACACGTATCCCGGGGGGAAGACAGACGAGAAAAGAAAAAAGCAAAGAAAAGAAAAGTGGAAAGAAGAAGAAAGAAACGAAAAAAAGAAAAAAAAGGGAAGGGAAAAACGATGGAAGAAAACGGTACGATTCGCAAGGCCTTTACGCTGATTTCTGCAAACATGTTAACAGGCAATGTGGAATACTCGGGCATTCTACCGAATGCCTAAGGCCGAATGGAAATTCTCTGAGACACAATGTGTATAGCGATCTATCGGTTAATCAAGGCACGCGCAGGACGCTGACAACTACACTTTGATAGCGTCAAAATCGTAGGAGAAAACACACAGGACTGATCGATTCTACGATGTTGACTTTCGATAATAAATTTAGGCCTGCATGTCTTCTATGCCGCGAAAACGACACTGGGAACGACGACCAACCTACATACAGATAGGACATTCTACATTCGTTCGACACGACGTTTACTCATTCCATGCTCATCAAACATAGCCGATATATACATTCCAATCGTTAGTTTCAATACTTTTGCGAACGCGTTACTCTCCGTTAATAACGCTGTTTATCAGAAAAAAAAAAATCAGAATTATTACTAACGTAATGGCGCTATCCTGCGATCATACTGGTTATGATTGTACGAAATCCTAAAACGGCAGCCAGACACAATCCAACTCCATCGATCGTAAAAGTGTCGATTACCGAGTCGATCAACGTCAGGTATATTTTTTTACATGCTCGATATATATCGTGTAACGTCGAAATTCGGCAGACGGTTTCCAGTGACGTTTTGACGATTATCATTCCGTACATTGCCTCGATTTCCTACCTTGCCTGCATTAAACGCACTATTATAAATAACGAGGTGAAACGATGAAAGAGAAAGAAAGGGAAACAGAGTGAAAGAATAGATGAACGAAAGAATGGACGAACGAACGAACGAACGAACGAACGAACGAAAGACAGGGAGAGAATGAAAGAGCGAAAGTGAAAGAGAAATAAACCTAGGGTAATAAGATTTAAAATGCGAAAAGAACAAAAAAGAAATAAAGACAGAAAACGAAAAAAACGGTGTGTAGAGAATGGAGAAATTAAGAAGATCGTGTAAATACGCTGAAAGTAGATAAACGAAGGAATCAAGCGACTAACCGCCTCGACAACAGACAAGCAATATTTAGTTCTTACCATCTCGTAATAATTAAACGATAACTCCAACTGTACTGTACACACGTGTACACACTCGTACGTATTTAAACGACTATAAATTAAATGTTAATTATCCTTACACTTCGTATATAGTAAATTGTTACGCATTTATTATCATTACAATTATTGAATAGGTAATGCTCAATTAGCATTTGTTTCTTAAAATAAAGAATAAATATATGGCTGTTGGATATTTATATGCACATATCACTACCTATCATTCACACACCCCTCTCTCTCTCTCTCTCTCTCTCTCTCTCTCACCGATTTTTAAGTTCTAGTTTCAATCATTCGCTTTTACCCCTCCTTAAAATTAAAAGTCGTTCATCGTTTTCCGTCAGTGTGAACTATCGTGTGAAACGACGATCGAACAAAAAGACGGATCCTTCGAACAGGAAGGAAATCCAAGGATATGTTTCAACTTATAAGGCGAGGTATATCGTTTTTAACCTTTTATTGTAAATTGATCTACAATCACCATATTCTGGTGCATTGTCGTTACATCTTCATCGTTATAGATAGGAAAATGTTACAGCAGCACTATTGCTCAATTATAGTGTGTGTATGTGTGTATGTGTCTGCATATAACTCTATTCATTTCTCGCAAGTCATCAACTTCGATCGTTTAAGTTTAAAAATCTCTTGGACCAAATGCCTCTCCGATTTATTATTGTACAATTTGATAGAGTATATCATATAAACAAATCTGTCGCGGCATTGAAATCGCAGAAAATCGCGCACGCGGGATGGTCGTGAAATGGAACAGAAGAAGGGAGAAAGCTACCTAACTTACGAATAACTTTTTTTTCTTTTGCACATCGTTATCATCATCAACATCATCCCCCATTAGAAGAACGTGTAAAACTTTCCGTGTACACGTCGAAGATAATATATATATATATATATATGTATATCCCTATATTAATTAGAAAAATAATACAAATTTTGCATTGTTAATGGAAACAATTAGCTATATGTAATATACTACATGATTTATGCGGGTATGGACATTCGAGTATGTTGTCACGGCTAACCAAGTCCCTGAAAACAATTTTAAAATTTCTTTCATCTCGCAGAAAAATTACACGTCCTTTGTCTAGAACATTGTTTAAAACACACGCCGAAAAAATAATTTTTTTACTTCGTGCTATCTTACACAACTGCGAAGAGTACAAGCACAAGTTATCGGCGGTGCTGTAAATTTCGTATCCAAAACATTTAAGCAACGATAACGCACAAAAAAAAAAAAAAAAAGAAATGATAAAGAAGTTACTCATAGTAATAGTGATTATTGCAATCGCAGCATCAAAATAATTTTGTTGAAACGCGTAATTTTTTAACAGAAAAATATATTAGCGTCGAAACGTTCTTAGGGTATAAATGAAACTATAAGTTCATGTATCGCAAAATTCCAAAAGAATACAACATCGTATGGAAATATAGGAGCGAGGTAGCGAAAGTTATATATATTCTTATACACATATTTGGAAATAATAGATCACTAAAAGCGCAAAAAATGGAATTCTCATAACGTTCGGCTCTTATCAGAAATTAAATATTGAGAAGCCATGAACGTTCAAAATCACAAATAAAATATCATTCCAAACACTAAATATATACTCAATTACAACATTTTATTATAAATATGTTGCGTCGACGAATTAAAGTGTAAATATAGAACATGATCAAACATTAATTGACAAAGAATAATGAGGATGTGAAATGTCCTACCTTATCAAGGTACAGGACTGTCTGTTCCACTTCCACTGTTGGTCCCAGCTTCTGTTTTCGTGGCAGCTACTCTGTCACCCCGCTTAGAACTCTTCGATAGGGAAGCAACTTCTTTCAACAAACTGGAGATCTTGTGTTGCATCGTCGATATTTTGGCTTCGTATTCCTTCTCTGTCGCTTTCATCTTGTTACGCAGTTCTGTTTCCGACGTGAAATTTTTAGCTTTCAATTCTGTAATCTGCGAACAAAAGTAATCCCCACTGAATTAGAATTAGTTGATAACATTAGTTGAAACTTTCCCTTTCGGAGTATACTTACTTGTCTATCCTTAGCGAGTAATTGCCCATCCTTGATAGAAATTTGTTTTTGAAGATGGGCTATTTTTTCTTTAAGTTGGGTAACCGCGACTACATGATCTGAACTGTTAGGATCATGTGGATCGTGGACGCCACCCATCCGCGCTGCTTTCACTGGTGTCGGACCGTTCGTGTCTGCACCTTCGGACTGAGGCGGCAATTTCGTTACATCGACTCTGTGTGGTCTCTTATTGTGACTTTTTAATCTGAAGCAAAATAAACAGATTGACCAGGAACCCATATGAAATGCCTATACGTCAAACATTACCAGATTGTGTTACAACCGAAGTGATACTGAAATTGTGATGAACACAATTAAAACTACTAAGCATAAAGTTACCTTGTGACATTATGTATTTGGATAATTACTTTTGTTCTTTGTGCTTTGCTGCTCGTTGTTGTGCTAGTTTCAAATGTGCCCTCCTTTCAGCATCGGATTGTTTTGTTTTTGCCAGTGCTCGTTTGTATGATAGTGTACATAGCCAACATAATAATTTCCCATCAACCTTTAACAAAATGTTAATAATTACCATGTGTAATCCATGAGCATATCATCTTTTTCAAAATGAATTACTTTCTTATCTTCATCTTGTCTGTCAAAGGCACACTTCTGTTTGCATTGCTCACAAGTAACTGGTGGCCCATAACGTTTTTCAGAATTTGTACATCTTTGACATTTACTACCAATAAATGCAGCTATGGTATTGCAATATTCACAGGCCGATGGCTTACCATAAGATTTCACATTTTGTTCGCATTTCTTACAAATAGTGCTTGTATTACCCTTTCTGTAAAAAACAAAATTACTTGGAGACATACCAAATTTATCAATTGGAGACATACAAATCAACTCATATAATGCTTACATTGTTTGTTGAAATTCTGACCTACAATATGTACATTTCACCACAGGAAATGCACCCCTGCATTCCTAAATAAGCAACATAATATAGTAAAAATTCATTAAAAAAGGAGCACAAAAATATAAAAATCTATGTATGTATTTACATTTAGTCAGTTTTAATGTTCACACGTTACTCAAGCTTTTTCACAAAACACATAATACTGTAAGAAAAAAATATTTATTAAAACCCAAATCAAAATGCTTTGTTAAATTGAAACAATTTTTAAACAAAAGCGATTCTTTAGAATGATCTTGTTCTTCGGTGCACGTACACAATTTTTCTTGAAATTTGCACGCAAAGCCAAATTTTCATCTAATTCATATTTTAACGTTTGATAGTTTGGAAACAGCGACAATTATATGAGGAACAGTACAATTGAATTAAAAGATCTATTATTAGCATCGTATCTCGCAAACACGAAAAATGACGCGTCGAAAGTATCGGTAGCTGCGTGACGAAATTCGAGGAAAAATATGAAAATTCAAAACGATACCTTGCACAATTGTTGCCCTGGGGAGAGTTCCTCGAAAGGATGTCTAGAAAAGCATCGTGAACACGCGAAAAGTGCTTGCACATTGTTCGCGCTCATCCTCAAACAGCAAATCGTGTTTGGCCTCGGTGTTCCAAAACCGTACGTCACCGATGATAAAACCAATTCGTAAAAGCAACGATGGATCGAGCCAAGTCTTGCTTTCACTACTGATCGGCGGCGTTGCAAAACAAAAAGGAACGTAAAATTCAACGCGATGACACTTGCGATAACAAATCCTTACATGTTTCACGACGTTTTGCGCGTCTGACGCGATTGTTTTGCGTACATAACCGCGTCACTTGGCTCGTTCACTGCACCGGTTGTTGATTTGAGACGGCCATCTGTAACTTTTTACGTGCATTCACAATGCTAGATGTCGCTTTCGATTGTGCACGTAACCGACGGTACGATAAACCAATCATTATCTTTCTACCTAAAAGATCTGATTAATAATTGGTTAAGTTTCTGTTAACACAATATTACGAACATTCTCTGTAGAATTTGTCCTCTTTGACCTTCCTTTGTTGGAATTGACGAATCAGCACATTTTATTTGTTAAACCAGTGAGGCAGTCCCATTTACGCACGTGCACGAGTGCACGCATCTTGTGTTTACATAGTTTTTTTGAGTATGCCCGAAATATAAATATAACCTAGAATTTTTGTCCACGCGTGCTTCATGCCGTGATAAGTAGGTTTAGACAAAATTAATGCAGATATCAGAAAAATGAAAGTTTCAAAAAAAGTCAAACGGCGACGGAAAGAAAAAGAGCTAGCTCTGTACGTCCGTTTGCCACATACAATTCAAGATAGAGACGATGTTGCAAAATTATTTACTGGCAATTTTAAAATAAATCTTCCCCGACAATCTGGTAGATGCTGCTATGTAATATTTTCTGATATAGAAGAGAAAATGAAGAATTTAAAAGCTGTAAAAAATACAAAGATAGATGGAAAACGTATAGTAGTTGCACCTGCAAATACAAAAATTGAAAAAAAAACGGCTAAAGTAAAAAAAAAGATTGTTATACCGGAGATAAAAGTAGGTGCAAAAGTGACAAAACAGTAAGTACATTTCTTTTTTTTTTTTTTT